CCCTGGGCTCTTCCCTGATCTGCCTGTCTCCAACCTTGTCTCCCTGGGTATCCCAGAATAATTTTACCCAAATGCAAACCTTGCTCCTTGCCTATTGACTAAAATCCAGATTCCTGGGGCCTGTGAAGACTTGGACTTACTCTGGCCTCTCTTCCTTCTCTCTGACTAGCGAGGCCTCTTGCAAGCCTCAGTGCCTGTCCTATGCTGCTCCCCTTGCTGAAGCCCCAGCCCTTGCCTTCTCCTTACTCAGTAGTGTTTGGCTCAAGCATCCCCTGTTTAAAGGCCTTTCTGGTGATGCTGCCATAGTTGCTTGTGCAGTGATGCACACAGTCCCCAGGTTCCCTCTGTGTGGCTCTGCTGGGTTATCGCTACATGTCCTGTGTCTCCTCCGCCTGTTTTAGCTGGCAGTTTTACCACAACTTAACCTTTCCAGGCCTAGCCTTTTGTAGTCTGCCAGGTACACACACATTAGGTCCATACTTTGTGTATGAAGACTAACGATATTCCTGCCTTAGGCAGGACTGCCAAGCAGCTGCAACAACAGCTGGAGTTGAGCCGGAGCCTGTGGCAGGGCTGTGGCAGTAATTTCTTCCCAATGATCACCAGCTATCTTGAGCTCAGAAGGCAGTTCCTGGAGAGGTACTGGCATCCTCCCTGTTGGTTGAGTTAGCTGGGCATGAGCAGTGCCAGGAGTGTTCCAGTAACTGCACACTGGAGGGGCTGATGCTGAAACAGTACTGGGCTGTGGAACCCAGTGAGTCCCCTTAGGCTGGAACCTGGCAACTGGGGATCCTGGTAATTATGCAGGCAGAGAGAAAATTTTCCCTGAAGGATCCCAGTTGACAGTGAGAAAGAGATTCTTGAGTGCCTTTTTTTCTAAGATAAATTTAATTTTAGGTGATTGAGCTTCCCATTGTGGTCACAAAAGGGAGCTTAGTTTTGTAATTTGAAGCATTATGTGCGTTATCTGGATGCTGCGAGCTTCTTGGCTGAGAGCCTAGAGAGGCAGATGGCTTCTTGCTTACCTGTATGTGCTGCCCCTTTAACCTCCTGAGTAGTGAGGATAGTGGTGCAAGGCAGGAGCTAGAGAGTCAGCAGCCTGTGGTGCTCTGTCCACGGAGGGCTGGCTCTGGGCACCACCTTTGTATGACTTCCATTCCATTGGTGGGAGTAGAAAAAAGGGCAGAATTGCTTCAGCCACCCTGAGCTCCTCCCTAGGTGCACTCTGTTCAGGGAGGGGTCTGGGTCTGTGATTCTCCTGTGACGGGCTTGAAGATGGCCCTTTTGATAGATTCTGCAGTGCCTTACCCTGTGCTGGACATTGTTCAAGCATGTAGTGAGGCTATGAAGAAGAAACAATTGCTACCTCCATTAATTACACAGATGAGGAAACAGGCAAAGAGAGGTGAAGCCGCCTGTCCAAGATAAGCAGATGGAAAGGAGCTGAGCTAGAATTTGAGCCCAGGCTACCAGGGGCTTTGTTCTGACTATAGTGCTGCTGCCTAAGGGCAGAGGTGACCTGAAGGCTGGATGTTACCCATGGATATGTTTGTTTAGGCCCATATTGATTTTCTTTATCTGTTTTTCATTGAGTTAGCTAAAGGTCAGAAAATGGCATGTAAAAATCTCTTGTCCAGCTCTCATAATCAAGTCCACAGCTTTGAGGCTTCTAGTTCAGACCATGAGATCCATCACCTGGAGGTGAAAGAACATGCCCAAGGCCACCTCACTCAGAAGAGGCTTCCCCCTGAGCCCAGGCCTCTCCCACCCCTGCCAGACGGGCACCTGGGTTACTCCAGAGCTGTGGGACGCTGGCCCTGCCTCTCCACTCTTCACTCTCCTGCTACCTCATTCCTCCGCTATCCCTCCCTGTCCTGTTCCTGGTATTTCAGACTCACCAAGGTAGGCAAAACATTAGCTACAGGAGCAGGTCCTCAGTAAGTTGATCTCACAAGATTTCACTGCCTTGTGGTCTTTATGAAGTTTGTGATTTGACAGATTGGATGTTGAATCTTTGGCAAATTTATTTTAGTGCATTGAGATTTCACAATATCAAGGGTTATTTCTAGTCTTCTGAGTATTTTCTGGAGATGCGTGATGTTCCAGCATATATTAAATCCTGTTAGTATTGTATGCTGTTTGTTGATGGAGTCAGTGTGCCTGTCTCCCAGTAATGGGTACCTCATCAGGGTGGGCTAAGTGCCACTGATGTGGCGAGAGGATCTTGAAACCCAGAAATAAATGTAATACCCCCACTTCCCCCGCAGAGGTTCAGAAGTTCTGGTTCCTACTTCCAAGTCCTCTTTTCTTTCAGTTTTACTTCCCTGATTTGGGAAGCATAGAGACAGCACCATTCATACCTAAAAAACTCAATGAAAAAATGTAAAGTTATGGCTCTCTAAATATAGTGTTAAAGATACTGTTTGTATGAGGCTGGAGAAGGCCATGGAAGTTTCTGTGAGGGAAGTGGGCAGGAGAGAATTAAGTTTTGCTGTACATAGCTTTGGATTGTTTCACTTATTACAAGTTTTTATTACCTTGTTCATTAATGTATCTAATAAAATTGAATACATTTACATTATAAAGTATATTAGAATGACACTCTCACAGAGTACTCTCAAACGGTTTATGGACCGGGTGTCTTGGAGTCCATCTCTCCTACACCTCCAGGAGGGAATGCACATTTGTTTAAACCACTGGGGTGATGCCTGTGAAGGAAATGACATTTCACAGTGAAGTATAGTTGCATTACCTTGATGTCCCCTTCACCCCAGCAGTGCACTAGGGGTTTTAGGGGCCTAGAAGGATGGTCTTCAAGGAGAGCTTTCAAGAGAGGCCCGAGCCCCCAGTCACTCTGAGGCCCCTTTGGGGAAGAGGGCTGCCAGGACTTTAGCAGGGAGTGCTTTGAAGGTCCCCAGGGCTGGAAAGGAGCAGAGTGGCCTGTCCAGTAGAAACACAGTGTGAGCCACTTGTGTGTACTATGTATGGAATTTAAAACTTCCTGGTAGCCACATTTAAAAAGGCAAACAAGAAAAAAATAGAATTCATTTTAATGATATATTGTATTTAACCCAGTTTATCCAAAATATTATAATTTCAGTGTACAATCAATGTAAAAAATTATGACAGATATTTAACTTTTTTTATAGGAAGTCTTTGAAATCTAGAGTATACCCCCACTTGTAACACACCTCAGTTCACACTAGCCACATTTCAAGTGTCTGGTAGCCAGTGTACCAGACAGTACAGTAGCAGACCTTTCTGAGTGAGGACAGGAAATTGTCTATGCAGTGATCAGCTTCAGAGAGGCTGTCTGCCCTGTCTCACTCCAGTGGTGTCTTCGAAATGAGTGGTCCTCCTCCTTCTGGAAAACACTGAGAGCAAACATCTGTCTACAGGCTGAGGGAGGAAAGCAGGAATCCCGTAAACAAAAATGCTAACAGTGGGGTTCTCTCCCGATAGTGAATTCAAGAGTGGTTTTTATTTGTTTTTGGTTTAGCTGTACTCAGAAATTTTTCTAGTGTTCATAAGTTTACCATTAAAATTATTTCATATTATATATGTATATTTCAATGAAAAGATAGAAGGCTGAAGGGGGCATGCTTCCTCCCATTCACCCACCCATTTTCATGACACCCTTGAGCTCTTAGGCCTTTAATGTCACCATGGTTATTTCTAATCTCGAGATTCACCAAGGTAAGAAGCTCTTAAAATGAAGGTGCTCATAGCAACCAGCTCACCCACGTCCCACATTCCTTTTATTAAGGTATCATGCTAAACGCTTTGACTTGTGATGAAAATATTGTGACAAGCCAGAGAATTTAGGGTTGCTATGGAAACCTTCCCCATTCATTGTCCTCAGTGAGGTGGGCTCTAGCTAAAGGGGCCACAGCAGGTCAGACTGTTTTCTTGGTTTCAGCTCATTTTTGGCCCTGTCATTCAGCTGTAGGGCGGATTTGAGCCTCAGTTGTAAGGAATTGTTTGGGCATTTCAGGCAGTGCTTCTACCAGACAGGGCATCTCAGTTCATCCTTTCTTGCTTTGAGAGTCTGTGATGAAAGCAAAGTTTTTTGCAGAGGGTGGCATCAGGAGTGTTTCAGAAGTGACCATTGGTTTTTGACAAATGGTTGTCTCCCCTAGAGATCCCTGATGGACTGAGGAATGGGCAGGCATGTTCTGAAAGAACCCAGCTCAGCTTTCCCTCTCCTAAAACATGCCTAACGCTCATCCAGGGAGAGCTGGAAATTGTGTTTGAAGCTGGATGTGTGGGAGGCAGCCTCCTTTTTTAGGGGGACTCAGAGAAGCAACCTTGGAGACAGGGCCTCTTGCTTTCTGTACTTCTCCCATGACCACAGGGGTGTGGCTGTGGGCATCTGTGTTGTGGGGAATGACTGGCGAGCCTTGCTAGGCTGTCTGAGAAAAAAGGGGAAAAAAAGGATCTTGACTGAGAAAGGAGGAAAAATCACCTTTACCTTGACTAATTCTGCTCATTTTGATAATAAGGATGCGAGGTATCACCCCCAACCCAGGAAAACTCCACCTTTGTTTACTTGGGGACCTCTCCCTTGGTTATTTTTAGATAGTCAGGAAGTTTTGTGCAGGGTCCGCAGTTTATTCCACTTCTGAGTACAGATGGTTCCTGACTGACGATGGTTCCACCTACAGTCTTTCAACTTGATAATTGAAAACAATACACATAATAAATTGCATGAGATATTCAACACTTTATTATAAAATAGGCTCTGTGTTTGATGACTTTGCCCAACTGTGGGCTACTGTAAGTATTCTAAGCACGTTTAAGGTAGGCTGTGCGTTTTGACTTATACGGTGTTTTCAAATTATGATGAGTTTGTTGGGATGTAAACCCACTGTAAGTTGAAGAGCCATGCCTCAGGCAGCTGGACTGAGTCCTCAGCTCTGACTAGCCCCTGCTGCCTCGGGATGTGACACACTTGGTTTCTCATGTCTGAGTGTAAGTCCCTGCTCCTTCCCTGTGCACAGGGCCCCTGAACACCGACAGTCCTCTCTACCTCCCCTACAAGACGCTGGTCTCCACGGTCGGAAGTATGGTGTTCAACGAGGGCGAGGCCCAACGGCTAATTGAGATCTTATCTGAGAAAGCTGGTGTCATTCAGGACACCTGGCATAAGGTGGGTCCACACTCCCCTGCCCACATTCAGAGGCCTCTGCAGCTGGTCTAGGTGGTTTTTCCCTTCCCCTCTCCCTCTCAGGGATCTGTGAATTGTAGTGGTTACCTGGTCCTGGGGCTGGCCACACCTGTCATGCCAGGCTGCTCAGGGAACAGCCTCCACTTACCTTTCTCGGCAGAACCTGCTGCCCTTTCCCAAGCAGAGGCTGCATGAATGACACTGCAGATTCTTTGACTTTAGCCACAGCTCAGCTGTGGCTGGGCCACTGAAACATAAAGAGCCAGGGCAGAGCTCTGAGTTACAGGGGTCCTGGGAGTGGAACACAGGAGCTGGGGCACAGCTGGTTTGTGGCCAGGGCTCCAGGTATAGGAAGGAATTTGTGTAGGGACACACTAAATGTGAGGGAACCCTGTGATGGGCCCAGAAGCACCTTCCCTCTTTCTGTTGGGGGCCAGTTCAGAGGATGGCACCCAGTCTCTGGTACTTTGGCAAATGAGCTACCACCGGGAAGGTGCTGCATGGTAGATATTTGTTCCTTAATCAGAGTTGGAATTGTAGTTAATTTTGAATGGAGAATTTTATGGCAACTTAGTAGTAAGAGATGTTGGGGGGTATCCTGAGAGGCCAGTGGGGATTCCTCCTCTCTTGGCCCTTGCTGAGCTGTGATGTGTCATGTAGTCACAGGGAGCTGCTTACTCAGTGAGCACGGAGGCTGGGTGGTTGGAGGGAGGTTTCCTGGGTGTGAGTGGCTGGAGAAGGTCCGGATGACCACTCTTCTCCAAGGAGAGAGGTTTGAACTTAGCTCAGGCTACTGTCTCCAGAATACACTTCCCCTTCCATGGCTTCTATGCTTCAGCCAGAGGCTTATGGGCTACACACAGTGTCTAAAGGGTGGGCACTGAACACAAAACAATGGCCGCTGCCTCTTATTGGGGCAGGAAGAGGCCCTGGCTACCACTGACCCGAATTAATGGGAAACACCATGCTCCTAAAAACTACCTCAAAGATCCAGCACTTTTGCCAAATAGCTTCTATGCACACGGATTCTGGAGGCTCTACAGATTGGGTGGCCAAGATAGGGGTACCTTCTCCCAGAAGTGTCTGGAGTTAAGATGGAACCTCCTTGTCTTGAAGCTCCTGCTTCTACTTCATCAGGACACTTCTCTTTTCCTGGGTCCAAGTCTGATTGCTGGGTTGGGGGGACAAACCAAATATCTGTCTGTACCCTTTGTTAATGTGGCTCTGTGGACATTTCTAGGCCACTCAGAAGGGCGACCCTGTGGCGATTTTGAAACGCCAACTGGAAGAGAAGGAAAAGCTGCTGGCCACAGAGCAGGAAGATGCGGCTGTTGCCAAGAGCAAACTGAGGGAACTCAATAAGGTATGGCTGAGAGACCCTGGGCGACAGCCAGTGCTGCCCCTGGATCATGGGGTTGGCCTCCCTACTGCAGCTCCTTGCTCAGACCTGTTGAATGTAACTGCTCCTCAAGCCAGTGTGTGCTGTGACTGTGAAGCCTGGGCCGGCCTATACAGCCCCTGCAGAGCTCCATGGGGTGGTGGCTCCCTTCTCAGGACTCAGAATGCAAGGTCGTTAAGTTGGGGTTAGGGCCCTCCGTGTGTGATGGGGGTAGACCATAACAGCACTGGCCTTTTGTCCCACAGTGATGGGCTGTCAGCAGGGGTGGGGAACGACAGTCCATGGGCCATATAATAAGGCCTGCAAAATCAATACCAGCTAACATTACATGCCTCACCAAATGAGCCTGACCAAAATATAGCAGGCAAATTTTTTAAGTTGATAATTGTATGGCCCATGAATTATGTTATAAATATCCAGCTGGCCCTTGGATATTTATAAGGGTCAGAAAAAGGTTCCCCACCCCTGGATATACCCTGAAAGGACGATGGACACAGTTGATCCACAATTGTTTCCTTAAGAATTGGAGCAAAAACTCATGGGGGTGCTGCTTTTCCCCCTTTTCTGCTGTCTGGAATAATCAGGCAGGGAAAGTCTGGCTCCTTGTGTCAGCTGAATGGCTTGGTGTGTAACATGTGTACTTAGTGAACAACAGTCAGATGAATCAGGACACATGCACAAGGGGCTGCTCTCCCCTTTCCTTCTGAGGAGAAAGTTCTGGTGCCCCAGTCCATAGGCTAGGTTTTCCCAGCAAAATACTGAGCATTGCTCTTGCCCTTTCCCTGCCTACCTGCCTCCTCCACTGGTGCAGCAGATGCAGGGGGTAGCCTGGGTCTTGGAATGCCCCACAATGTCTGGGCTTCACTCCTTCCTCTGAACACCTCCTTCTGCTCGTCTGAGAAGAATCAGAAATGAGGCAGCCTGAGTTTCTGTCCTAAATTAGAGGGATGTGGCTCCGAGCCAAATGGCAAAGTTTGTTTGGTGGGGAATGGCAGGAGTAGAATATGAGCCTTTGGTTGGTAACTCTTGGTTAATGCTCTGCCCAGGAGAAGCAAAGAAAAAGGCAGGACTCTGTGGCCTTCACTAGAGCTTGGTAGTTTCTGCACAGGGTGGGAATGTCGGAGGCTCTCTCTCAACACTGTCCACGTGTGGCCTTCACGCGTGCCCATCTTGTTTTGTTGGTTAAATGCAGGGTGGCTGGAGCCATTTGCCCTGCTCCCATGAGTTGATAACACATGTCTCTTCCTGGTAGACATGCTGTAATGTGCCGTAGGCTAGGGGAATTTACACCATGGAAGTGGTCCAGGCTATACAAATCAGAGCCCTTTCTCCTGAGAGCCAGCCGACAAGCACACCACAGGTTAAGAGTCTGTGGTTTAGGGGAGCCATTCTTCCATATCTTCTTTCTGGACAAACTGAGAAATCCCTATGAAAATTTGTTGACATCCCTAAAGTAAAGTTCAAGTAAGAAGAAGCAGGAGTGAGTGTTCCCACAACTGGCTATGTGGTTGCTTGGCTAGTTCACTGTGCCTGCCGCCTTGAATTTCGGAAGGGCTGTAGGTGTGATGAGTGAATCAGTGCAATCTCTAATAGTGATGCTGGCCTCTCTCTTCCCTGTTGCTGGTGTCTCCAGCCACCGTGGGCAAGTACATTCTTTAGAATGAGGCCCCTTAGACACTACCCCTTTTGTTGGACACTTACTGCTCTTCCTCAGTGGTGGCTGCTTCATGAGATTTCCAAACCCACAGTGGCAGCTAATCTATAAACACTCTCCTCGGGTCTAGATACATTTCCAGTCCTCCTGGTAGATCTCCCTGGCTACCAGCTGCAGCGGCCTATGAGATATACAGGGGTTAAGCCCTTGCCTTTCATTACTCGTCCTCCAGGAATCCATGCCTTGGCTTCAAGGCAAGGAGATGTCTGACGGTGCATCCAGCCTTCCCTCCCCTACTACATCCTCCTCCCTGCAGCCTGCAAGGATCTCTTTAAGCTCTGCCAGTGGCTCCTAATCTTCAGACCCGAGTCTGCACCCTGGGTACCACCTCTGGTCTCCCATCTCCATCTGCTCTGCAAAGTGCTGTACCTTTATCACTTCCTCTGGTCCTATCCTCCTGCTCTTACATTAGCTTCAAATGCTCTTCACTGCTGAACTGGCTGGAAATTTTTTTCCTCTCCTTGAAGACTCAATTTGCTCTTCCCCATGACTTTTTGCAGAGCCCCCATTTTCTTGTTTCAGCATAGCAGTCATACATTACTGCCATTGTATCTGTCCCTGGTGACTCTGGCCACCTTGTTCAGCCTAGCAGGTCACCTGTTAGCAAGTGGCTACTGAGACTCAAGGCCAACTAACAGGATATCTCAGATGGTTTTTGCATCGTCTTCTTTCCTCCCTGTGCTTCTGGAACCCATGAGCATGAGGTCCCTGCATTTCTCTGCTGAGAGTTTTGGGCAGAGCTGATGTCTTGACTTCATTCTTGTCACATCTCCTAGCCCAGCACCATTGAGGAAAGTTATATCAGAAACTAAATTTTTGGGAATGTGGAAGTTCCTCTTAATTCCTCACAGGAGCTAGTGAGAGGGATAGGATCTGGTTTTTTCTCCACATGTTTTTGTCCTTGTGGATTGTTCACTGTGACAGATCCATGTTTTGCAAATAGATGAAGTCTCAGCAGAGTTGGGCTCAAGGACTGTTTTAAGCACCTGCTAGCAGGAGTTAACAGGCTTGGGCACTCGAGGCTCTGTCCTAGCTTTCTGACAGTCTTCTGGGCCCTGTGCATGGGTTCGAGGAACCATGCTTGGCTTTGGTGCAGCCCTTCTAGAAAACCATTTTTCTGGCTGTTGTCTTCTCAGGCACCAAGTGCCCTGTCATGGGACCTCGGTCCTGAGGCAAAGATCTGGACTTAACCCCATCCTGTGTTCTCTCAGCCTGGGAGATCGGGGTCTAACCTCATGTAATCAAGGAGACCGTCAGGGTAGGTGTGCTCCCAGAGGTGGGGTGGGAGATATTCTTGGTGGCAGACCTTTTAAAAAATATATATTTTTATTGTTTAGAGAGAGAGAGAGATGGAAACATCGATGAGAGAGAACATCGATTGGCCGCCTCCTGCATGCCCCGTATTGGGGATTTGGCCCACACCTGGACATGAGTCCTGACCGGGAATTAAACTGGTGACCTCTTGGTGCATGGGTTGATGCTCAACCACTGAGCCACACCGGCCGGGCAGTGGCAGACCCTTTTCTTAAAAATATTTTGTCTTATGGAGTACTATGCAGCTGTAAGAAAGAAAGATCTCTTATCCTTTGAGATGACATGGAGGGACCTGGAAAGTATTATCCTAAGCGAAACAAGCCAAACAGAGAAAGACAAGCTTCATATGATCTCACTTATTTGTGAAATATAATGAACATAACAGTCTGAGGAATGGGGTAGTCCCAGAGATGTGGAAGTGGGGTATAGACCGACAATCCCCAGAAGAGGGGGTGGTAGGGGAGAGATAAACCACAGAACTTATATGCATGTGTGCATGAACAGTGGACATGGATAACAAAGCTGAGGACAGGGCAGGGAGGGAGAGGAAGGGGGAATCAGTGAGAGGAAAAGGAGACACATCTGTAACAAAAATAAATAAAAAAATAAATATTATGTCTTTATTGATTTTAGCGAGAGAGGAAGAGAAAAAGGGAGATAGAAACATCGATGAGAGAGAACATTGATTGGCCACCTCCTGCATGCCCCCTACTGGGATTGGGCCCACAACCTGGGCATGTGCCCTGGCTGGGAATCGAACCGGCGACCTCTTAGTGCATGGGTTGACGCTCAACCAATGAGCCACACCGGCTGGGTGGTGGCTGACCTTTTTGATGGGAACTGTCTCCTGTAAATGCCTCAGCAGGCCTTAGAAGCCCACACCCAGAAGGGCCCACTCTTAGACTGGAGGGCAGAGTGCCATTTCTGAGCCAGCAGTGCTTATGATGGTGCCAAGCCTCCTCTTCCAGCCCAGTCAAAGAAAACTGGGCTTCAGTCCTCCATTCTTCACCACCACTGAGCATGCCTTTCAAGAAAATGAATCTGACCCTTGGCAACTGAATTAGGAATTTGACAAGCAAGAGGAATCCTGGGATTCTGAGCTCTTAGAAGAAAACAAAGCCAAGAAAGGCTAAACAAATGCCCTGAGGAAAAGCTGGCCTTTGTCTGCCCCTTAAAAAGCCCAGAGGTAAAAGGAAGGGAAATCCCATTGAATTCTGCTGGCCTTGGGACCCCATTGGATGCCTGGGATGGGGAAGGCTGTTCCTAGATGCTCAGTGCTAGCCTCTGGGTGTCCTTTAGGTGGGGCCAGCAAAGATAGGTGGAGGATGACCCACATGTGGCTGCACCACCTGCTGCTGGTGTTTCTGTGGGCGCTCTAGGGTCTCTCTTAGCTTTGATTTCTTTTTTCGAGTCTGGATCCTGTACTGGAAGGGGTCTCCTCGTGTTGCTAGTGTGTGGAGTTTTGCTGGTGGGGCTGGCAGGGGGGCATGTGTGTTAGAGGAAGCTTGGTGGAGCTTTGAATTCCCACTAAGTTGCCCTGTCCTGCTTCTTTAGAGGTGCCAGGCCAGCCAGAGGAATGGGGCACCTTTTTGTTTCTTCCACTTTCTGGGACCCTAGTGGACTCACACAGTTCCAGGTTCCAGACCACCTCTGCCACTAATAGCTGCTCCCCAGCCTAGGACATCATTTCCTTCCCAAGGGTCAGCGGTCTCAACTTTAAACTGGGGATCAAGAACCTCACCTTACTGAGAGACTTGAATGAGACACTGCTTGTCCCAGGGGGTGCACACAGTGTCACCCTCCCCTCCCATTTCTGTAGATAATGAAGTGGTCCTGAGTCTGGACCTCATGCCATCAACCCTTCCTCGTACTGTGATTCCTTGTTTCCACAAGGCTTACATCCACTGCCATTCTTTCTGGGGTGACAGATTCCAGCCAGCTCCTCTCCCTCAGCTTATCCTTCCCACCTGGTACTCTGCCCCTACCCAAGGCCCAACATCCTGTGTTAATCATGGCATCTGATACTGCTTAGAGTAGACATTTCCCTGGGCTGGGGTGGAGGACTGAGTGACTGCCCACACAGACCCAGGCTCTCCAGGAGTGGGGCTGAACACCCAGCCATGGCAGGACAGGCAGTTAACCATGTCCTCACCTCAGCCATGAAAACTTGGAGCTGTGTCAGCCCTGACAAAGGTACTCACGAGAGGCAGGCATTCTGGGGCCTGGATATCAGGGACCAAGCCGATTGTAGTGTTGTAATCCCCGCAGGCTGAGCCAGCGTCTCTGGAGAGCCCAGGGAGAGCATGCTGTACTTACTCAGCTCTTTCCTATGTCCACCACATCCATTGTGGCCGAGGCCTGACATCCAGCCCTTAACTGGTCAGGCCAGCAGGGTTTTCTAGTAACCTCTTATCTCCTGCTTGCTGTCTGCTATGACTGGTGTGAGTCTGTCTGAGAACTCAGTACAGACTCTGAGTGTTTTGGCTCTGATCTGAAGCTCCTCCCAGCCCTCATCCTAGTCCCAGCTGATGCTATAGGTTCTGATGATCTTGGTTCTACCTGATAAGCTTTTGCTCTTGCCTAACTGGTCCTCTGCCCTCTGTTTTCTCCAGGAGCTTGCAGCAGAAAAGGCCAAGGCAGCAGCTGGGGAGGCCAAGGTGAAAAAGCAACTGGTGGCCAGGGAGCAGGAGATCACAGCTGTGCAGGCTCGAATGCAGGCCAGCTACCGGGAGCACATGAAGGAGGTGCAACAGCTGCAGGGCAAGGTGGGTAGTGGTGTGGCACGATTAGAGAACAAGGAGGGCTAGAGTGGTTCCCCAAAGGCAGTTGAGGATGCCCTTGGAGCGGGGGGAAGAGGGGTGTTCTATAGAATCTGGTTCGTTTTTAGAAGAAACGGCTATTTTATCTGGCCAAGTAGTAGCAGCCAGCCTACCGTGTGTGTTTAATATTACTAACTGGGAAAATGTAACATACATTTTAAAGAGCACTTTTTGAAAACAGTCTGGTCCCAAGTGGCCAGCCCTGTGTCTTGTCTCCTGGGTGCCGGTGGGTCAAGTTTTCAGCCTCCATGTGACCCTAGTGTAATGCTGGCTTTGACTTTTCCACTTGAGGTAGGAGGATCACCTATAGCAAAAGTTCTAAAAACCTCACAGCTCTGGAATGGGGCTGGGGAAGGGCCCATCCAGCTTGGCCTGCATAAGCCCTGGGCCTAATCTTCCTAAACCTGTGCTCTGCTCATGGTGGACCATAGGAGGCCAGAGGGCAGGAACCGAGGCTTCCTTGAGGTAGTTGTAGGCCATGGCTGTGGCTGTGTCCTTTGTCTCAGACCTAAGAGGCAGCGTGTGTGGAGCATGTCTGGGAATCTGGGCTGAGCACTTTGCTGCCTGGAGGCCATAATCTGGGAGGCAGAGGAGAGAGGTGTGTGACTGGGAGTCAGTCTTGGCCCTAAGCTCCTGCTGCTAGAGCTGGTCAGTTTTCAGACCCCTTGTTCTTAGGGGTCCTGCCCACCTTGTGTGGAGAAGTGGAACCCTCGGGGGTTTTGTCTGTAGGCTGTGATCTCACTAACTTTGCTCCAGAAGTCAGTGCTCTCTGTCAGGCCAAGTAGCACTCTGACACCCCATCAATGATTTTTAGATCCGAACTCTTCAGGAGCAACTGGAGAATGGCCCCAACACACAGCTGGCCCGTCTGCAGCAAGAGAACTCCATCCTGAGAGACGCCTTGAACCAAGCCACAAGCCAGGTGGAGAGCAAGTAAGCTCAGTGCTCCCAATCAGACTCTGCAACAGCACAGCCCTGGGGCACTCCAGAGCTGGGGAGGGTCTCTGAGCCTCCTGCAAGGCTGCAGCGGGTGCACTCTAGTTTCTTACTGGATCTGGGGCTGGCTGTGCACTTCTGCACTCCCCATTTGGTGCTCCATCCTCATCCTCCATCTCTTGTCTGGTTCTGAGTGGTTGAACCTTCTAATGCATAACTGGCATCCTCTCATGTATTCAGGCTGTAGGGAGAGGTGACCTCCAACATGCCCTTGTCCATGTGATCAAGTGCCCCTCGGGTCCTGGCTGTTGCTGGTATCTGCTTTCCTTTTTCCATGTCTATACAACATCCTGATTTGAGGCTTTTAAAAACTGATTGTGACCTACAGTATCAAGGCCAAGTGGATTGTCCAAGATCAGAGTTTGATGTGGTGTAGGGACCTGCTGTGGGCCTGAGTGTCTGATTCTCCTCTGGGAATGATGTCTCCTGTGCTGGGAGTACATTTGCTTTCGATGCATTGGTGATAAGTACTGTTTCACAGCACACCGGCCGAGTCTGCTTAGCAGAGTTCTTGATCCTCAATGTTGCCTCTCAGGAGCTGAAATTTTTGGAAGTTCTCAGCAAGTGGGCCAACCCCAGAGGGTAGCATGGAGCCTCACCATGTTAAGGACACTTTGGCATTCTTCTGATTATTAGTTTGAGCATTACAGTTTCAACAGGCTGGCTTGGAGGAAGCCCTCCTACATTTTTGATTCACATTTCTTTCCCTTCCCTTGTCCTGAAGCATCCTGAAGGGAATTTCTGGGGTCAGCATTATCCCCAGAGCATTTTCTTTTGCCAAGAGAAGAACTGACTGAGGCAGAGAATACAGGCATCCTCAGTGGGTTGGAAGTCGAGAGGACAATGTTGGCCTGAGATCTAGACCAGGGAGGGAAATCAGTGCCCACACATGCTTTGCTGGTGGCCCTCCTGGCATGAAGTGAGATCTGAAGGCTACCTTCCCTAGCTGGTTTCTTGTCTCTGGAGGTCCCCTTTGGGTATGCGTGTGAACACATCTTTATCATCACCCTGGCCCGTCGCAGGTTGGAGTTTTATGTCAGTTTCTTCTCAGCAGCCACAAGCAGAAGGTGAACACGGGGATGGAGGAACATTGTGGCTTCCTCAGTCATGTAGAATTTGCTGTGGCCTCCATCCTAAAGCTCCAAATCATGGAGAACTGTCACTCTGAGGTGGCAGGTACTGACTCTGTCAGTGTGTGGAAGCTCTGCCCATGGGGGATGGATGTTCCTAAGCCTTCCCAGAATTGCAGATCAATCCCAAGGGGCCGCCCACCCAGCTTCCCATCTTAATCCAGGGTCCCAGAGACAGCCTTCCCTGTGAGCTCTCCAGTCTTGAATCTTGGTACTGTAAGCATGAGCAGACAGCCCCCCAGAGGGCTTTGGATGTCCTCCCTGGTACAGAGAAGGAAACCCAAGTCCAAAGGTGGGATACTTCCCCCTACCCAACCCTAGCAGCAGACAGAGCTGGTCTTGGCCAGCTTTCCTGCCTTTCAGGGTTGTGGATAGTGTTATCTGTCCCTTTGTCTTGTCTGGTGCTATCCCTTGGCTGGACCGTCGGTCTTGTCTTGAAGAGGTGTCTAGTGAAGGAGGCCGGCATGTTGATTACCTCCTCACACTAGGAAAGGCAGGTGTTGAGGTGCTCTCTTTTCCTGTGAATTAAGTCCTTCCTTCCCTCCTGAACTTCTCCCTGATCCTGAGACCTACCCACCTTCTGTGCAGTGTTGAAATCTGTTTTGTAAAGTGCCTCAGTCTCCTACTACGGGTGGCCTCCAGTAAAACGGGTCACATGGACTCCAATGGGCTGTTTCCCTCAGCCCTGCAGGGGTGTTGAGGCAAGGCAGCCTGCATTCTAGGGCTGTTTGGATCCTGGTTGGCAATGAGGAAAATAATATCTTGCCTTTTTTCTATCTGAATTTCCAGATGTCTGGGAATGGCACCCATGGGATATTTTAGTACACTTTCCTTTTTTTTTTAGAGAGAACCATCGCTATGAGAGAGCAACATTGATCGGCTGCCTCCTTCACGCCCCCTGCTGGGGATCAAGCCCACAACCTGCACATGTGCCCTGACAGGGAATCAAATCAGGACCTCTCTGTCATGGGGCAATGCTCAGTCCACTGAGTCACACCAGCTAGGCTTTAGTGCATGTTTTGTATTTGCTCTCTCTGGTGCACACACCTGGCTGATAATGCAAGAGGCGCTACAACTAAAGACTCAGGCAGCTACTTAGGAAAGAGCAGGTGCCCTGGAGGGAAGGCTAATAGCACAGTCCCAGTCAGCCCAGTCAGCCAGGGGCAGTTCTCGGGGCTGGCAGTAGCTGACTCAAGCCCTCTTCTGTCTGTCAGTTGGGGGCTGGTGACTATCTTGCAGGCAGAATGCGGAGCTGGCAAAGCTCCGGCAGGAGCTTAGCAAGGTCAGCAAGGAGCTGGTGGAGAAGTCGGAGGCAGCACGGCAAGAGGAGCAGCAGCGGAAAGTTCTGGAGGCCAAAACAGCTGCTTTTGAGAAGCAGGTCCTGCAGTTGCAGGTGAGTCGGGAGTGGTGACCACCTCAGTGCCCTGTTCATCCTGCCCACCAAGCCTGTGTGCGTAGCAGGGACAGGCCAGGGCTTGCCCAGCTACACAGAATCGTGCCTTCTCAGCTATGACTGATAGCTGGAGGCTCAGGCAATTCTGGAGCTGGAACCCTCAACCTTGGCCTCATGAATAATAGTGATAGCTTGCTAGCTTCGAATGAGTGCTTTCTATGTGCTTAGCATTGTTCTAAGCACTTTATAAGCATTAACTTAGCTCATTCTTATTGTAACCCTATGAGGTAAGTTCTGTTACTATCTGGAATTTACCCATAAGGAAATTCAAGGAACAGAGAAGTTAAACCAACTATTCCCAAGTTCACATAGAGTCAAGATTTCAACCTGTGGGTCTAGCTCCAGAGCTGTGTTTGTTCTCCCACACTCGCTACCACCTCTGGTACCACAGCTCTGGCAATAGCCATCCAAACTAACATTAGCAACCTTTGGCTTCAAGGCTGGGTGAGTGTTCTTCCTTCTCAGCCTGTAGATATAGCCTGGAAGCTCTTGCTTTTCCAGGAGGATGCCCTTTCTTCAGAGGAAGGAAGATTGTTCCCCTGTCCCCAAAGTGCACTGGGGAACATCTAGTGTGACCCTTCAGCTGCCTGTTGGCCCAATGACTTCTGGATCGCCCGGCTGGCCTATTTTGGGTCAGGTGACAGGGTGTGGTTAGCCTTAATATCATGCCTGCTTTTTATTTAACTTTTCTGGGTAATAAGGAAATCCTGCTGTCCTGAAGGACTTTGGGCCCTTTTTCTGCTTAGTCATTGAAGCTAGTTATAGCACATAGGGCAATGAGGTTGTCTTGTGGAAGGGACTAGAATGACAAACAAAACTGTAAGACTGGTGTTTGTATGTATACAAGAGATGAAAAAGGAATATGGCTAAATAAACAATGGTTTGGATTGTTCAGATTGGAATCAAGGTAGGTAATTTTTTGTTTACTGATTTTCATGTAAAGCAGGTCTACCCAGACTAGTGAAATGAGAACTGCTGGGGTAGGCATAGCCATGATTAGTTTTTAAAGGCTCTCGGATGGTTCTAATGCTTCTGGGGCTACAACCACTGCTCTAATGGGTATTGCCATTTCAGGTGTCAAATTTTTTTTTTTTTAATTCTTACTCGAGGATATTTTTCTATTTGTCTTCAGATAGAGTGGGAGGGAGAGAAAGGGAGAGAAAGAGAGAGAAACATTCACATGAGAGGGACACATCAACTGGTTGCCTCCCACACGACCCCCACCAGGGCCGGGGGTGAACTGCAACTGAGGTACATGCCTTTGGCTGGAATCAAACCTACGACTCTTTGGTCCATGGGCTGACACTCTACTGCTGAGCCAAACCGACCAGGGCACCAGGTATCATTTCTAATGACCCAGCCTAGGGCAAGGCCTGGTCCTGGCTCTTATCAGTAAGCCCTAGACTCTGAGCATCTCCTGCCCTGGCCTCTGGGTACTTTTCCTCAGCCTCCAGCCACACTAGGGGATTCATTCTTTCCCCTCTTGATACCAAAGATTTTGGGAGTGGCTGGCCGCGGATGGTGAAAGAGACCAGGGCATGGTGTTGACATTGAGGCACCCGGTGTCTGCTGTGGGCTTTAAGAGCCTCTGTTTCCCCATCTATAACATAGGCATGACAGTGGTTTCTGTCTCATGGAGTGGCTGGGGATTAACTATGTGACACATATACAGTGCCTGGAACAGTGCCTTGCATAGAAAAAGAGCTCAGTAAATATTAACTGTACAAGGGCCCACTCAGAAAATCTCCAAGTTAGATGGGGGGGGGGGGGGTAAAGTTGTAGGAAGCATCTCTGTTCCATGCCGAAATGAAAATGTTTTTTTTCCTTTTTGTGCCTGTCCTTCTTTACCTGAGACCCCTTCACCCTTGAACCAGCTCTTCAAGGGCTAGGGTTGGTATAGCCTCCTCTTTTTTTCCAGTGGATAAACTGACTTTAGAAATCCATATGGGTTGTATAAAAGTCATTGGGATGGATGGCAGGGTGTTCTGTGCAACCTCAGAGCTCGCTGAGGGTCTGGCCTCCCTTCTGTATACACATGGCCCTTTTCTTTCTGCCCACTCCCCAGGCATCTCACAAGGAGAGTGAGGAGGCCCTGCAGAAGCGTCTGGACGAGGTCAGCCGGGAGCTTTGCCGCTCACAGACCAGCCATGCCAGCCTTCGGGCAGATGCTGAGAAGGCCCATGAACAGCAGCAGCAGCTGGCTGGTAGGGTTTGCGCCAGAGCCAGAACCCATCAAGTGGGCCAGTCCTGTTAATCTGTAAGGCAGGAATTATGCCCTGTTGGGACAGACAAGGTGCAGGAGTGAGGCTTACCCCTATGGGAGAGCTGGATTTGGGTGGAGTTTGTGAGGGCTGGGTGAGGGGATGGAGTTTATGAAGGCAGGATGTGGGGGGCGGGGGACTTTGAGGGCAGAGTGGTGGCCAACAGTGCTGCTATTTCCAACCTTGTTTGTTGTGGAGCCCCACCTGGAGCCATGGCTGTAGGGGACTGAGGTGCTCCTGAGATCATTGCTGGGTTTTTCAGCTGACTTCTGGACCTTTCTGGCTCTCCCAAGTCAGTTAGCTCAAGAGGCCAGGTTTTGAAGGTGGACCTTAGGTCCCCCTGTGCTCACAGATCTGCTTTGCAATTGGGAGAGGATGGCAAAGTTGGGGGCACCAAGGGCCCCTAGAGAAAGAAAACAATGTCAGTGACAGCTTGATGGTCACTTGCTCACCAGTATTTCCTGAGCACTGCTATGGGCATCCAGGGCATGGCCAGGAGTGAAGCAGTGGGCACCTGGGCAACATTCTAGCAGGAGGGACAGACATAGGTAGGTAGACACATGTCAAAAGGGTCAGACCGCATGTTGCTCTACAGACTTCAGATAGCATGACCTAGAGCCAGGCTGGCAAGCTGTTTTCCTTGAAGAGCCAGGTAGTAAGTATTTTTGGTTTTAAGGGCCAGATGTTATCTGTCACAACTGCTCAGCTTTGCTGTCATAGTGCAAAAGCAGCCCCAGACAATATATAAACAGATAGGCCTGGCTGCGTTTCAGTAAAACTTTATGTACAAAAATGTGTGGCCAATGGGCTTGGTTTGCTGACCGCTGCTCTCTTGGGCCAGGTGTGGCTTTAGATTGGGCAGTTGGGTGGTGGTGTTTAAGCTGAGGTCTGGATGATGGGAAGGAAGGGGCAGAATGATCAATAAAGGACCCCCGCAACTGGGAATGAATGTGACCAAGAAATAGAAGGTCAGCAAGTGACTGAAGCAAGAAGGCAAGTGACCAGTGTGTGGGGCCGGATGGGTGACCCTCTTTGTGAAGCATTTGGGTGCTGTGTTCAATAATGGAAGTATTTAGAGAGTTTGGGACGGGGCTGGTATGATCCCATTTGTACTTCTGGATGGTCTGATGCTAGGTGGAGAATGGACTTGAGGGGCAGGAGTGGTCTAGGGAACCAGGAATGAGGCTCTTGTAGTCATTCAGGCCAAAATGCAATAGGGCTGGGCCCAGATAGTCACAGAGGTGCTGGTGAGGGAGGGATGGACTTGGCAAGCAATGAATGTGGAATCCACAGGCCTCGAAGATGGGAGAGAGGTGGAGGTGCAGGGAAGCAGAGCAGCCGTGATGGGGAGGTCAAAGTGCTGGATTCGAGTTGCCTAAGCAGAGCTTCATTTGGAAGTGTCAGGCAGCTGAGCCTGGGTTTGGGGATGAGACCAGAGCTTTGGGACTTTGAAGAGTCATAGACACGTGGCTGACATTTAGAGCCATGGGACTTATCTGAGGTCATCGAGGGAGGACACCCCCAGAAGGACCCTGCCCTTAGTCTCAGCTAATATGAGCCAGTCTCTTAGAGGACAAATTTTTAGAAACCGCAACTGAAATTAGATTTTCATCATTTTCCCATGAGAGATCTGAGGGCATTTTATTCTACCATACCGAGTCTTCGAGAACAAAGCCATGATTTGGCTTTCTCCAATAGCTAATAAGACATCCCAGGGGTCAGAAGTAAGTCTTCAACTCCCAGGTGCACAGAGGAGGCAAGGGAATGAGTCCTTGGTGCCCGTGTGCTGAGGGGCAGGTGTGGTGTCCATCCCGGGCATTTGCAGCCATGATTGGAAGGTCAGAGTGCTTGATTCCTGACAAATTCTTGCTTGTCTTCTGACCCAGAGCTGCACAGCAAGTTACAGTCCTCTGAGGCAGAGGTGAAGAGCAAATGCGAGGAGCTGAGTGGTCTACATGGGCAGCTCAAGGAGTCCAGGGCAGAAAATTCACAGCTCAAAGAGAGAATCCGGTCCATCGAGGTCCTGCTGGAGGCAGGCCAGGCCCGGGATGCCCAGGATGCCCAGGTCAGCTGGTACCTCCTCCCCGGGGCCGACAGGAGGGGAGAGAGAATGCCACTGAGTCCTGACCCAGCTCCTCTAACACCATCACCACCTTGTAAAATGGATGAGAGCAAATCCCTCTTCCCCTGACTAGTTGCCAAATGAGGTGAGTCTCATAGTGATTGAGAGCTTTTTTTCTCTCGTTCCAGGCTAGCCAAGTGGAGGCCGACCAGCAGCAGGCACGGTAAGTGGAGGTAGAGAGCTACAGCCTCCGCACATGGTGGCCCAGGGCCCTGGGAGCCAGGACTTTCAGTGGGGCACACGGCTCCCCTCACAGGAGCCCCTTTTAGAGGCCCCTGCCTTTTCCCCTTCCCTCTGGTGACTTTGAGGACAGGGGATAGGCCTAGTTAGGAAAGAAGGCAACCTTGCAAATAGCTCCTTGCCTTTTTTGGAGGAGCAAGACTCATCTGTGTGAAGAGTGTCTGGTGCCTCAGCAGGGGCACCTCCTGCCATCTATCCATCTCTCAATTGGGAGCTGGTTGGGAGTTCTCTCTCTCTCCAGACTTTAAAGACAAGTCATAAATCAAATAGGAAAAATGGTTACATACCCTGAATGGAGAACCTGGGAGGTGGTCCAGGCTTTTTGCACAAATTTGGGATGTCAGTATATTTCAGAGCTGACCAAGTCCAAGAGTTGTCTGTGAGGTAACATCACTGTTGGCGGACCTTGTTTTCCCTTTGTATTGGCCCAGCACCAGGCAGTGTGCAGGGACAGTTTGCTGTTGTTAAAGCCAGAGCCAACATCTGGGTGAAGTGTCTCAAGTCAGGGAGCCAGTGTCCTGCCTGGGGTGTGCGTCCCTCAGCAGATGCCCATGGGCTTGAGAGGTGAGCTCTGGCTGCTGTGGCCAGGAGTCCACAGAACACCCATATGGAGGTGAATGGAGGGTGTTTCTTGTTCTGGCTGCTGCTGCCAGTGAATCATCCCCCCTGTGCCTCCTAGTCCATGGCCCATGTTCCCTAGCCTTAGGCTCCAGGGTTTGGGGGCTAGGGAAGGAAGCTAGCTACCCAGAGGGTCCAAAATGCCTTGCCACCAGAACCAAACCCTCTCCCAACTTACTTTCCCAGTATCCTTTTCTTCCAGAAAGGTTGGGGAAACTTTGTTTCTCATGGTATTTGTTGAGGTAGAAAAGTTGTATTTGTTTAGTTTTTTTCTGTATTTAAGGTCAGATTCTGGCTGCACAGTGAATTCCTATGGTACTTTAGTCATGGTACACATTGGGTTCATTCCAATTTTTTGCATCATGCAGATGTGTTTGGCAGAACTTGGGTTTTTTATTTCCTTCTCAGACAATTTATCTTAAAGTTTTGTCTAGGCCAGGTCATTCTGTTTTGGAGTGGAAATGAGAGATCTAGCCCCAGATATTCTAGAACTCAGAGAGCAGCCTTCTGAGTCTTCTTCTCAGGGCTTTGTTCTTTTGGGGACCCTCCTAGAGTAGTTTGCTTGAGGCAGGCTGTTGCATAATGCAGGGGCTGGAGGGAACAGCTATGAGGGATCTCATATAGGAGTTGTGAGGGTGGGGTCAAGGTTCTGTGGGCCTGAAACCAACATCCAAGAAGTCAACAACTGTCTTCAAGGCCAGATGCAGACTGTATTTGGAATAAATATGTGAGGCAGTATGTAGTGGTTGTCCAATCTCAGATACGGTGGTCAGGACAACCAGCATGCTTGGCCCACACTGTAATTGTGTTTATTTCTAACATGCATTAGATGGTGATTATCAAAAAGTTTTTTTATCAGAGCCCACAATAAGAAGTACAAATCTGTATGTCCCCGTCTGCTGGCTGGGGCAGCCCTCTGGCAGGAGCGTCCTCGGCAGGGCTTCTTTCTCAGTTTCTGAGTGGCTCTGGTTGTTCTCATTCAAGTTAGCATTATCCCTTTTGGACTTTAGATTTCACATGTCCCTGGGGCCTTCCTGGCCCTAAATCTTAATGACATATCCACGTGTCCACCTGAAGCTCATTCTTTAGAACTGCTAGTACAGTTCTAATGTCAGCTTTTCACTTTCTGGATGATGAGATTGGACAAAGCTCACTGGACCATATAATCTGGAGAGAAGCATGCAAAGATGGGACTGACATTTTGCCAACCATGTGGCATCTGGGGGTCTGAGGGAGGAGCCCTTGGGTCTCAGCAGAGTTAGGTTTTAGACAAAGGATGGTCCCACTGTACCCAGTGAGCTACCGAGAATAGTGACACTGAATCTCTGGGTGTGCAGGTGACAGTGCCACATGAGTCTCCAGCTCAGGTGTCTTCTGAGAGGGGCCAAGTTCTGTGGGGACAGAGCAAGACCAGGTTGATCAAGAGCCAGTAATTAGGCAGTGGGCTTGGTTCACTGGAGGAAAATGCTTCCCGAAAACCCTACTGTCGGGGCCCATCCCTGCTATAGCCGCTTTGGCTGCCCGGATCTCTGCAGTCTCAGTGGCCATAGTCGCCAGGTGGGACTTTGGTGGCCTTTGGGTTCTGCACCCTGGTCCCTGGTCACTCAGGATGAGTGAGGGGAACAGGTAGCTGCTTGGTCTTCCTTGAAAGCTTGTGCCCTATGAGGCAGTCAGAGTGCTCCTGGAAAAGGTGGGTGCCCAGGCAGAGGAAGGGTCCCTCCTGAGACAAGAATGCGGGGCTCTGTGCCCTCAGCCTGGCAGTGACCCCACTATTTCCCTTCAGCCTCAAGGAGCTAGAGTCCCAGGTGTGGTGTCTGGAAAAGGAGGCCACCGAGCTCAAGGAAGTGGTTGAGCAGCAGAAAGTGAAGAACAATGTGAGTATTGGTGTGTATATATGTGGAGGTGGAGGGGCTGAGAACAACATGTGTGTCAAAGGGCATGCATGTGCGCAGCAGGGGAGGGGGGGGGGGTGAGGCCCCGGGCTAGTCAGGAAGGGGCCTAGCTGCCTCTTTACAAACTATTGTACTACTCATTGATAAAAGCCTGCCTTTGGGTGCTTGGGGGGCCTCTCTGCCCCTGGGGTCCATCCAGAGTCCCAGGGAAGACTCCCATTAGATCAGCCTGGGTCATGTGTCCCCAGCATGGAACCCTCATGATGGGGACATAATGTACCAATTGGACTTGCAGGAGTCACATGGTCAATTGCCTTGGAGAGGAGAGGCTAGTATCAGGAAAAGGGGGTGTGGAAGTCCCTCTGCTCTGTGTGGGTTTGGGGGCGTGCAAAGGAGCCTTGACTATATCTTCCCCACCAGGCTGTCCACCCACTGCCCCTCACAGAGCCTGGGCTTTCGGATAGCCCTGTCTGCTCTCCCCAGAGGAAGTTCCACCTATACTTCCCTGTTCCTGGCTTGGCCAGAGCCAGCCATGGGGTCAGTGCTTGCTGTTTGGTGACAGGAGCCTATTTTTTTTTTTAGGAGCCGCCAGGCTGACCCTACCTCCTTTAGAGTAGCTTCTCCCTGGAAAGATGCTCAGCCTCCTCACGCCTTTATGCCACAGCCACCCAATAGTCGGCTGCAGCACCTTGGCCTTGTGTTAGTGCTGCCCAAGAGAGGCCCAGTGGATGTGGCTTAAGAGAAAGGGCACCGCGTCCCTTTGCAGGCCCCTGTGAGGTCCAGAGTAGAGTCCGGAGGTTCTGCTCTGCTGAGACCCACTGAGGCAGCTTGTGGGGGATGTATCAGCTGCTGCCCTGCTTGGATGCTGATTTTTTCCACATCTTTTCCCAAGGACCTCCGAGAGAAGAACTGGAAGGCGATGGAGGCACTGGCTTCATCTGAGAGAGCCTTTGAGGAAAAGCTGCGCTCCCTGACCCAGGCCAAGGTCAGAGGCCCATCCTTAGACTTGCCTGGTAGTGAAAACTTGATCAGCAGCACCTTTGTAGTTTAGCAAAACAAAACTCACAAATTATATGCAGCACAGCCTTGGCCCTGGAGCCTCTCAGAAATCCACATCAGGGTCCTTCAAGAGGCTGGCACAGAGTCCCCTGGCTCCTGCATCTTCCTCCTTCCCTCCCTTTCTTTAGCTCTGAGATGACAGGTGTAAATGTACTTTTGACTGCTTTTTTCTCACCTGAGCCCTTTGCTATCACAGGGCAGAGACAGAGGCCATGGAGGCCATGAGCCCATCTGGCTGCACTGCCTCTGAGTGAGCTCAACATTGGGCTGTCTTCGAAAGCCTGATATTTTGTCTGATCCTGCTACTTTTTCAGGCCCTCTGAAATCATGGTCCAGTAGGTTCTGTTCTTTACAATAAGTCACAGAGGGGAAAGACATCTTTAGCAGCACTCAGGTCCAGAGGTGCATATTGGTCCTGTGCTCCATGCAGCCCAGGTTGGGGAGAGTGCAGGCATCTCAGTGTCTGGGGCCCTCACTTCACTTTGGAGCCCTGGACTGGGAGCTAGCGCTGAGGCTCAGGCGAGGGTTGGGGGAGATGGATGGCCTACAGCAGCAGCAAGTGCAGGCCTTGTCTACCGTGTCTCATGTCTGCCCTATTATCAGGAGTGACTTCATGAGCCTTCTAGGAAGCCCGCGGGTTGTATGAAATGGGACCCTGAGATGAAGTGGGAGGTGGAGGGCTGGCCTTGGGTCCATTTGTACCAGCTGTATTAGACTCCCCGGAGGTGACCTGAAAGCCTGTCTGGCTTTTCTATGGCAAATGCAGAATCTATGACCAGAGATGTCGCCTGACTTGCTTGTGGTCATGCAGCCAGATAAAAACAAGAGCTGGCCTCTGGGTCTACTGGCTCTGGCCTCAGACTCCCACGCTTGGGGTCTGAATGGTGGTCACAAGGTTGGGGGTCTGTGGCAGGCATGGACATTGTCTGTGGATCACTGGTGAGCCAAGAAGGGTCCAGACCATGTGGGTGCTTTGATAAGTTGGTTGTCTGTCAGCCATCCTTCCTGTGTACGATTCAGAGCATCAATCAACAGCTCTAATGCAGCTGGAGTTCCTAATACTGCCCCTGGGGCTCAGGCCATGCTGAGATTGTGGCAGAACTGGCAGTAGGTTCAACCTGCTGGGTACAGGTTATTAGAGAAACTTTAGCCAGAAATCTCCTGTGGCCACCCCCAGGCTATGGAGAAGAGGGGGTTTTATCTGTCTCCAGGGGATGCTGCTTTCCTAGGCTTTGCTTTATGACTACGTTGGTCCTTCTTCATGCTTTGAGTGGGAGCCTCAAGGAGGACCAAAGAGGCTGCTGGCTGAGTGTGGCATGGCCACAGCATGATTCATGCTTTGGGAGAAAAGCATGAATCATGACTCCAGCAAAGAACTTATCTCCATTGAGTTGTTTCTACTCTGCAAAGGGAGTACTGATTCTCTCTACCTCCAGGGTTGCTAGATGTCCCGCCATCCCTGGCCAGCAGTAGCTCCTAACTCTGGTGGCTACTGGGAGATACACCTCTTCTTTGCCTCTTTCTTGGCTCCCACAGCAGCTTGGACACCCCCTCCCCAAAGTGTACACACACACCTGGAAATGGAGAACAGATTTAACCTGGGTGTCTGCTGGGAGGTGTTGGATTAACCCGTATCTGCCATGTGGGCCAGCCTGCTGTGTCATCCTTTATTAGAGCTGAGTCTGTTTAAAATTTACAGGCACAGGTTGGGGTAGCCAGAATTGGCCACTGAGGTTAAACACCCCCGAAAATCAGCCCCACAAAGCTATCCACCTTCTCCTTTGACCTTTGTTCCTCCCTTTCTGGAGTGGAGACCCCAGCATCTCAGGAACACTTCCCAGAGGTTGCCCTAAATCTCGTCTGAATACCACCATCCCCCTGCAGGAGGAATCCGAAAAGCAGCTCACCCTGACGGAGGCACAGACCAAGGAGGCCCTGCTGACTTTGCTCCCAGCGCTTTCTAATTCAGCCCATCAGGTAGAAGGGGGGCCCTTCCCTGGGACCTCACTGCTCATCAAAAATGTCACTGAGACCCCCTTTGCTCATTTTTGTTGCAGAATTACACTGAGTGGCTCCAGGAACTCCGAGAGAGAGGCCCGGAGCTGCTGAAGCACCCGCCGGTGAACACAGAGCTGCCCTCTGTAAGCATGACATAGACACACTCTCCTGGGGCTGCCACTTGCTTTCCTGTCTCTGGGAAGGGAGGTGTTTTTGTTTCATCAGGCCGCTGGAGAAACCTTTGTGCTTGGCTAAGCAGACCCTTGTTCTGCCCTTTGCCCTCAGGACCTGGCCTCTAAGCTGAGGGAGGCTGAGGAGACCCAGAGCAGCTTGCAGGCCGAGTGTGACCAGTACCGCACTATTCTGGCAGAGACAGTAAGGCACGAGGGCTGGAGCCTCTGGCTAGGCTTTTGGCTGGGCGTCCCGGGAGCTTCCAGGAAAGAGCTTTTCGGGCCTGTAGGGCAGAGGCAGGCGGCAGTATGAAAAAGCCCACTGACCCTTCTGAAAAGAGGCCTAGGTTCAGATGCAGCCTCTGTGGGACTTTGTGCAAAGGCACTACCTCAGTCTGGGCCCCATTTCACTGGCTGAATGGTAAGAGGGATGAGTAAGCCTCTCCCTTGTTTCTCAGCTGTGAAGAGGGCTGAAATGAAGGTTCGGGGCTGCTCTCGGGGACAGAGAGACTTGATCATAACAAGGAACAGTCTGGGAAAGGAAAGGAAGCATTTAGCTGACAGCTGGCTTAAAGTTGTGGTCTCTGATTCCAGGAGCAATGCTAGGCACATCCTGTGTTCCTCATCCTGGGCCACTGAGATTGCACTGGTGGCAGACTCAACAGAGATGAGAGTTTCTGTGGCCTCGCTTGGGTCATCGGCCTCATTCCCATGCATGGCCCACAGCCTTTGTTCACACACTGGCCAGAGGGCCCCACTCCGAGACTCGAATACCTTGCTCCCCATGTGACGCTGACTACAAAGTCAGAGCAGGGCACATTGGTAGTCAGGCAGTTGTCTCAGTGGGACTGAAGGGACATGAAGACTTAGTTGTGTTTATGTGGGGTGGGCCTCCACAGAGAGGGCCCTGCCTCACTGCCTGTCCCCCCAGGAGGGCATGCTCAGACACCTGCAGAAGAGTGTGGAGGAGGAAGAGCAGGTGTGGAAGGCCAAAGTCAGCACCATGGAGGAGGAGCTCCAAAAGGTACAGCACAGGCCCCCTCTTACTCTTGCCAGGGTCCAGCGATAGAGCATCACTCCAGGGAGTCCACCTTTCCTAGGAATTCAAACGTAGAATTCAAACGTAACTTACTCAAGAAAGATAGCTGGGCCAGAATTCTATAAAATCGAGGGGGAAAGCCGATGGAAGTATTTGGGAGACAGAAGATACTTGCTGGTTTTGGGTGATGACATATTAATATGGCAATTGCAGAATGACAGCTACGTCCTCAATCTCAAGGAGACAGTTAACTCCTCAACCTCAAGGAGCCTTCCCCTTTCCTCCCACTCACCTCTAGGAAGAGCCTGTTGGGTCATGCTCAGAGTGGGTGGGCACCATTGGGCATCCTGAGAGATGGGGCTCGCGTCTGACATGGGACCTTCCCATTGCCTTGTAGTCACGAGTAACAGTGAAACATCTCGAAGAGATTATAGAGAAGCTAAAGGGAGAACTTGAGAGTTCAGATCAGGTATGTATGTATGATCTTCTCAGAGGGCTGCTTTCCTTACTTATTACAGAGAAACGTCATTATAGAGGCTTAGATAGTTATTTTCCCTTGTGAACCACATGTTGTAAGAGTGGCTAGAGGATCTTAAACAGTGGCCTTCTGATTTGTGGGATGTCTGAGAGATGGCCCCACTGCCCTTTGCAGACACACTGTCAGCCCTGGCCTTGAAGAAGGTGCCCCTGGTATCCACCTAGCAAGTCAGCCTGAACGCTCTTCTCCCTCCTGCTGAGGTCTGAGTACACAGACCCAAGAGTGCTGGAGTTCGGGTACTATTTTTAGGATGGTGTTCTGTTGCCAGGTCTTTCTGCCTGACCTTGGTTGGCTCCATAGTCTACAGGATGTGGAGGTCTCTTCTTAGCTTTTATCCCCAGGACCAGCCACACTTGTCATCTCTTCAGCCTATATTCCCTGTTGGCTGTCTTGAGGCTTCTGACATGTGCATGTATGTGTCCAGGTGAGGGAGCACACCTCGCATCTGGAAGCAGAGCTGGAGAAGCACATGGCAGCCGCGAGCGCTGAGTGCCAGAGCTATGCCAAGGAGGTGAGTCTCCCCATGGGGTCTTGGCCTGCCCAGAGTTGCAGCTCTCATTCACATGAACTCAGAATGCCAGTTCTTGGGCTTTGCTCTAGGCCTTGGGCCAGCCAACGGGGCAGGGGTGAAGCCCTATCACCTGCATAGCAAGAGAATTCTCCACCTGGCTTGGTGACATCATTTCTGGAGAAATGTATTTAAATCTGATACTGTTTCCTGACTTCAGAAGCGGAAAGCACAAACCTGGCACCTCTGATTCTAGTTTGATCTCAAACTTTTAGTCTTATATTGTGAAACAATCTGTAAACATTTGCAAAGGCCCCAGACGAGGCAGACAATGAAATGCCAGCCTTCCTAAGTCTTCAAAAAAGAAACAGGAGCTGCTGGAGGCCTGGGAGCCCACTGTGCTCACTCTGCCCTGCAGTGTTCTCAAGGGTTTGGGTTACAGGGGTGTATTAGACTCTTTGTTTAGGTGCTAACTCACAGGAGCTGGTTTTCTCTTCTCTATCCTTTGCCCCCATCACCTGGGTCTGTTTACTCCTCAAGTTGAGGCAACTTTTATTAGAATCTCAATCTCAGCTGGATGCAGCCAAGAGCGAAGCCCAGAAACAGAGCAGTGAACTTGCCCTGGTGAGTGAATGTGGTATGGGGGAACGGCCTGAGACATGGAGGAGTGGTGGTGTGTGTGTGTATGTCTGATTAATTTCTACTTATGCTTTTACATCCTGTCAAATGTAACAGTGTGAAGAGGCCGCTTGCACCAATTTAGTGTTTGGGCCAGACTTGGATTGGGCTGTGATGAAGGGGCGCCTTGCACATTTGCTCTTAAGCTGGGCCTGTGGCTCCTGGGACCAGTGTGCTCAGGCCCACCTCCCATCTCTCCTGGTGCAAACTGGTCCCAGGCCACAGAGCTGGATGCTCAGGGAAGTCTGACCCCTATGAGTCCAGTGTCACCTGGAATTTCTGGGCTTGGGTATTCTGCACCCCATGGCTGTCAGCACAGGCCTTGCCCTCTGTGGGACTTGGCCTTTTCTTACTGTAGCAGAGGCTAAGACTAGTTCCAGCCAACCTGTGGGCTGAGAGGCCTGCTCTACACCTGGCAGTAGAAGCAGACTCATGGAGCTCCCTGCTATGCAATTGGCCTCTGGGTCCTCCAAGTTTTCAGTGTTGGTGTCTGATCACACTCCCCACTCCTTGACACAGGGTCAGCCCAACCTTGTAGAGGTGGGGCACCACTGGTCCCCCTATCAACCAGCTCCAGGGTTAGGGCTGCAAGCAGCAGCCTGTAAGGTCACAGACACATTCTATTTGATCTACATGGTCGTTTAAAATTTTGAACTAAAATTTTGAACTAGTTATTAACATTTAGAAATTGGGAGATTTTGAATACAAATGGATGTGTCTGGGTTTTTGTGAGACCAAAGGTCTCAAGTGTGGGCTGCCATTCCTATAGCAACGTCCGCTGAGCCAGCCCCATGCGTGGCACACCTGCTTCTGACTCCCCGGGGGCCTTACCTGGGACTGACACACTAGAGAGTGGGTGCCATCCAGACTGAGTCACTGCCTGAGAACAAGGGCCACTCCCTAAAGCAAGGTCTAGGTGACGGTCTCCAGGGCACTGCCCAGGCTGGGGGCATGTGTGGAGAAGACTCCCCTGAGTGCTCATCATTGAACTGGGCAGTTTGGTTCTACCTTTAGGGGTTGTTGGAAGGGAGGGAAGGAAGTGAGGGAGCAGGCCCCACACACTTGGGGTGTCTGAGGCTACCCACATACCCTGGGAAGCTCGTGCCAAGGGCCCACCCAGATTCCCCAACTTGAACCTTTACCTGAGCTTTATGGGTGACACTGCTGCCTTTTCAGATTTGAGGCTTAATGGTCTTGGGGATGTGGGGACCACCAGATGTGTCATCTGCTCCCAGCAATGGAGCTCAGGGGTGGGGGGACCTTATTAGGTAAGAGTATTATCATCTTGTAATCTTTTCTAGACCCCATACTCTGGACAATGGATTACGTCTAGAAGTAATCCAGAACCTAAGTAGTGTTGTGCGTGCTGAGCCTGTTGGCCGCCTCACTCCCTTTTGCATTTCTTAGCTCTGTGTGTCACCTCCCTACTGGGGAGGGTTTCATGCTGGCTGGTCTTGGAACAGAACACGTGGGTCAGGCCATCCAGGCCCCTCATTGACCCCTGGGCCTAGGCTTGGCACAGGTGAGGGGTTGTGGCGCTGGCCTCTCTGCCCCAGTAATCCTGCATGGGGACTCTGACACAGGTCACAGTTACCAACCAGGTCCCCTGTAGGGGCTTTGGCTGTTGAGAGCATCTGTGGCCCTCCCAAGGGGAACTGTGTGTACGCGCAAAGTGGGCATGCATCTGGCTATTTGTACAAACCCACCCCTCCCTGTTTCAGGTCAGGCAGCAGTTGAGTGAGATGAAGAGCCACGTAGAGGATGGTGACGTAGCTGGGTCTCCAGCTGCTCCCCCAGAGGCCCCCCCAGCAGAGCAGGACCCTGTCGAGGTTAGGGCGGTGAGCTGGTCCTCAGATGTTTGTCACTAACCACCCCCGGGCCCCTTCGACCCCAGGTGGAGCGCAGGCACAGCAGGCCTCTGTTCTGGCTAAACATCTGCTACTTGTAGCCTCCACTGCCTGCCCTCCCCACCCCACTCTGCCTCAATACCCGGGAGGGGGTCCTCTCAGCTCTGCGAAAGCCACAGAGCAGATGCTAGGGCAGGGAAGGTGTCCAGGCAGGGGGGGTATTGGAGGCTTGATCCTAACACTGTGTGCAGGAGGGACTGGAAGAGGGAGGTGGGGCAGCTAGTCCTGTGATTAGGGTCTGATGTCCTAGTGTGGCCCTTGCTGGGACATCACTAGCAGTGTGCTTGTTTTCCAGACTTTTGACCCAAGTAACCACTGCTGAAAGTCCTCACCAGGAGGCAGGGGCCTGACACCAGAGTAGCAGTGGGGTCGTTGCTAGATGGGGATACCACTGTGGGGCAGGGCTTGCCCAGTGGCTCTGAGGCATCTTTGTCCTGTGTGCCTCATTAAAGGTGTCTGAGGTCAGCAGAAGTCCCATAAACATCTCCCTTCAGCCACATCAGCTTTTGTACCCAGAGGCTAAGGTACCATCTCCCCCATAGGGGTAGCTTTGGAAATTACTTGGTTGGCTAGCTGATGGTCAGAGGCCACTCCAGCTGGCCAGAGGCAGGGAAAGGCAGTCACACTAGAAGTAGCCAGAAGGTGGAGCCTCCAGGTCTCAGCCTGCCTGGGAGCCCTGGGCTCCCAAGAGGGTCCTTCATCAGGTTCCCAAAGTATATTTGTGGTGTTTCCATGCAGCTGAAAATGCAGTTGGAGCGGACAGAAGCCATTCTGGAGGATGAGCAGATGCAGCGACAGAAGCTCACAGCCGAGTTTGAAGAGGTCAGGCCCTGTCTGGGGGACCCTGAGCCATCAGCTATGTTGGGAATGGTGGAGGGTGTGGTCCAGGCAGGTGGTTGTGGGTCTGGAGGGTCCTTCCCTTGGGGATGTTGCTGTGCAGTTGGTCACCTGCCTCATGTCAACAGACTGGTATTGTTGTCCCATCATGCTGGGTGCCCTTCTATCCCCAAGCAGGCTAGTTGGGTTTGTGAGGTGACTGATGTGACCCTGTGCCCTAACTCCACTGCCTCTTCTCTGCCAAGGCTCAGAATGCGGCATGTAGGCTACAGGAGGAATTGGAGAAGCTTCGAGCCAGGCCCCTCGAGTCTGCAGAAGCAGAGGCAGCCGCACAGCTGAAGGTAGAAGGGTGGGCTCTGCTCAAGGCTTGACCAGGGCTAGCTCCGGGCACTGGCTTCCCATTGTCACCACCTGGGGTAGGAATAGAGGAGGAACCATCTTGCATCCCCTTGGGGTACAGGCTGATTTGGTGGTTGGGGGGTAGTCCTTAAACCTCTAGTGTTATATACGATAGCCACTAGTCACCGTGCTTATTTAAATTTAAATCCAACTTGAAGTTCAGTTCTTCGGTTGCCATGGCCATACTGCAAATGTGTAGCAGGCACCACATCTATCCACAGTGGCTGCTGGGTTGCACAGTGCACATCAGAATATCCCCAGGGTCGCAGGAAGCTCTACTGGCATTGCTAGTAGACAGGGCACAGACCTAATTGTGACCTGGGCTGTTTGCTCCTGATCATTACTGCCTGTCTGGGTGACCAGGAGACAGCATTCTCCAGCATCCTCCTACCTTCAGAGGGCTCCCAGTTCCCAGGGCATCGGGCCCCACAGGCATAGCCAGGTGGCCTTGATGTGTGCCACATGAAGGCTGATCCTCTTCAACCCTCTGATCCACAGGAGAGACTAGAAAAAGAGAAGAAGTTAACGAGTGACCTGGGACGTGCTGCCACCAAATTACAGGAGCTCTTGAAGACAACCCAGGAGCATCTGGCAAAGGAGAAAGACACAGTGAAGAAGTTGCAGGAGCAGCTGGACAAAACAGTGAGTGTCCTGGCCATGCAGGGACACTGGCTCTCTACAGGGCTGCTGGGAAGGATTGGGCATGGTGCTGGGAGCCCCGGGACTCCCAGATGCAGGACCAATAGGATACAGACCTGAATCAGAAAGTGGTGGGGCATATTTCTGAAGGCAGCATCAGGATGTGCAGCACCCATAGCTCCCTTTGATGGGAAGCATATCTCTGACCCCCCACTGCCAGCCCAAGGCCTGTGGGACCAACGTCCTCACCCAAACTCGGGGCCCTCAGTTCCTGCCAACCCTCAGGCATCTCTAGCAGCCCCAGGAATCAGCTCTGGTTCTCCAGATGTGCTAGGTATTCTCTGAAGGGTTTGGAATGGTGTGGGGTGTTAATTCAGAGGAACTGGAGGTCCCTAGGAGTTGAGGTGAATGCTCCCCTTGGCTCCTCGGCCCCACCCTCTCCCTCCCTCTGCCCCATGTTCACAGGAGGACGGTAGCAGCTCAAAGGAGGGCACCTCTGTCTGAGTCTCCTCTGCGGAAAAAGAAGTTACTGTTCAACTTACCAAAATGCCTTATACATTCCTTACAAATACACAAGCCGACACAGCGTTATCCAGGTCCAACTCCGGTGGCTCTGAGAGAAGCCATTACAGACAAGAGTCTCTTAGAACCACAGAAATAGATCTTCCAGACCCCCACTTTGTAAGAGAACCTGTCACATTCGATAAACACTATTCCCCAGGACCAGCCCTGGACCACTGCAGAGCAGACACCAAAGCCCTTATCAGCTGTGACAGACCCCAGGGTGTGTGCTGGGGAGGCCGGGACCTCTGGCTGTCTGTATGTCGAGATCAGTGCAATTGTTTTGTCTTTCAGTAGGTCGGGGGTTGGGAGGCGGGTGGACCAGATGGTGAGTCTCAAAGGCTGTGGCACAGACTGGAGGGGCCTAGCCCAGCCCAACAAGGCAGCAGCCCCTCACCCCTGGAAGAAGTTACCAACCAGAACTGATGTGTGACCTCCTGGATGTTAATGCCATTAAAACCAACATTGTCGTCTGGCGCTGCGGTCTTGTCTGCTCTTCTGCTGGGGCTTCCCCACTGGTTGCTGGGCCTGGGATGAGGAATGAAGAGGGGCTCGATCCCTTAGAGAACAAGTGTGGTTCTTGGTTTCTCTGAAGTCGGGGGATCAGCAGCTCTGCCTAAACTGGGGGTGAAATGAGTTGCTTCCTAGTCCCCAGCACTTTTCCCCATCATGCCACCCAGGCCCCAGTGCCCACTAGGCAGGATGAGTAGGGCCTGGGATGCCAGGTGGCCAGATGCACTGACTGTGGTCCCTGCCCTGGAGGATCCGAGGTTACCTGAGCAGGGATATGGGTGGGCTAGGTTGCTGTGTGCAGTGAGCTCCACGAGTGAATAGGGAGTCTCCGTCCTTCTGGCTGGGGCTCGGACAAACATCCGTGCCTCAGGAGGGGCACACTAAGGCTGGAGCAGTGAGCTGAGACTTACTGTGATCCTCAGGACCTCCTGTGACCTTGGTGGCCCAAGACAGTGCTCCAGAAAAACCTTGGGCCAAGGGGTGTATTGGGGATGTTGTAATAAATAGGAACCTGGAGCTTAAGCAGAAAGTGGATTTAGAGGCTCACAGGAGGGGTTGAAACACCCCAGGAATGGAAGGTGTATCTGAACATCATGGGTTCTTGGGGGCAGTTGTCAACCGGTTCTGTGAATAGGCTGCCTGGACCAAACTATCCCACTTCCATCTCCCAAGCCTCACAATCCTGGATCTCTCTGCATCTCGTGCAGCCTTCCAGGTGGTGGGTTTGACTCCTCTGGCATGGTTGTCATGAGAATCTCAAGACCTTGGGAGGTATTGTGCATGTCTATCATTTAACTGCTTTCAGCCCCCACAGTTTGAGAATCTACCAGGGACTGGGCAGTCCTGACCTCAACTGGCAAAATCCTGGTCCTGGCTTTCATGTAGCACCTGGTCTATGGGCCACCTCACCATGCTGCGTGGCATTTGTGTGTTGCAGTCATATTGGAATCAGGGTGCTGGGAAGGCTCCCCAGAGCCGGAGAAGTGAGCCTAAGCTGGAGATAGAGTTAACCAGAAGAGGAGGCGTTTGCCAGGGGAAGGAAAGGGGTTAAGACGAGGGGACAAGTATGGAGGACAGGTTATGAAGTCTGGAGTCTGGACAGATTAAGGGAGTAGGAGAGCCACTGAGGTTTTTAAGTGAGGGAAGACAACTACCTGTTCTAGAACTCTGGAGGGGGGCTGAAGTGGAGGGAAGCCCATGGGACTTGGGACATGGATGTCATGGTTCCTGGCCAGGAGACTGAGCAAAAGGAAGTCACTTATTAACACCTGCCACCGGCCACATGCCCAGCCCTCTGCCTGGTTCTCACATGAATCTTTCAGTTCTCAAGGGAGGTGAACCTCCCCTCTATTCTGCAGTCCCCATGAAGAGAAAGTAGTTCACCAGGTAAACTACAGGCAGGTTACCCATCTCTAATGCTTGGTAGTCACTAGGCAGCTTGGGATGGGGTAGCGGTGTCATTTGGAGGGAAAATGTCATCTGGAGTATTCAGACCCCATGAAGAGTGGCCACTGAGCCTCCATAAACCTGTGTTCCCTCACACTGCACCTTCTGTGTGGCCTGTGCCTCAGGAGAAGGGGCTTAGTACTGGAGGCTTCTGCACAGTGGACTTATGTAAGGTCAGTTTTGGGCCTTGGTGAGTTTCCTCTGTAGGTCTGGGAGCCTGCATTCCAGTAAGTTCCCCACCCTGCCTCACTGACCACAGAACTGAGAACACCTATGCCTGTTGGATGCCCTCAGAAGGCACAGTAATGGGAGGATCTTTAGGAAAGAAAGGGTAAAAGAAACCCATGTACCTTTGGGTTCTGGTTACAACCCTATTCCCTTCTCAGACCACCTGGTGGGGACCCAGTGTTCGCCTGTGGGGAGAAGGTTAAAGTGCAGGATGTGGGGCCCTAAGGGGCTCAAGAAAATGTTACCTTGAAGGCTGCCTGGAGTTCAAACTCTCCCTGCCTGTCCAGCAAGGACTCAGCAGCCCTGAAGCCCAGCAGTGGCATCTCCCGGGCTGGCAGAGGGAGCCCGAGTTTGCCAGGCTTCAGTCTGGCCTTGTCCCTAGAGCTGTTCCTGGGCAAAGCTTCATTATCAGGCTGGGGAAGAAGGAAAGCTATTTGGGAAGGTATGGGAGACAGCTGCCATATGCAGATTGCAGCATAAGAGGCTGACAAGGCCTCCTGGTGTCCCATTACATGGAACAGACACCCAGGAGCCTGGCTCATTGGCCTGGCCACTCAGGCCCTGGCCTGCAAGTATAGTGACATCCCTCCAGCACTGGAGTACTGGCTCTGTAGTCAACTTGGGATGAAGTTTGTGTGGAGGCAGGGATCATCTAGGCTGGATTGGAGCATTTGTCAACTAAAAGGCAGTGGCTGACCTAACAGGAAGCACTACTCTGCCACAGCCTGGGCGCAGTGCTCCTTACTGCTCATCTTAGACCAGCGATTTTCAACCCTCTTCATCTCATGGCACACAAACTAATTACTAAAATTCTGCAGCACTCCAGAAAATACATTTTTTTTTTGCCAATCTGACCCCCCCCCCAAAAAAATAGGTATAGTTTTTATTCATTCACACCAGACAGCTATTATTTTCTTAATTTGACAATCTAAAGGAAAAAAGGTCAATGCCCCTGACTAAATAAGGTAGTGTATATTTTTAAAATTCTTGCAGCACACACCAGTTGAAAATCGCTGTCTTAGACCACCAACAAATAGACACCCTCCACAGATGCCCTCTCTCTGAGCCTCTTTCAGATTTGGGTCTAACTGGATTCAGAGTCCAAAATAATTGTTTTCCTTCCCAGTTCAAGTCTCATGTGTAGCACTGAGTAAGATCTAACCTCAGAATTTCAGGTGTTAGAAATGAATTCTCTAGGGTCCAAGGGGAAGAGCTAAGTACCAGAAAACAAGAGACCCATCTTGCCCTGGTTGCGCTATTTATGAATTGAGTAACCTTAGGCAGGCAAGATACTTGACTTGTCAGGGCTGGCTACTGAGGGCACTGGCTACAGGCTGAGTAAACCCCCTTTCCACTACCCTTCTGGAACTGGGCAGAGTCTACGGAGAGCCCTGGCCAGCCAAATAGCTCAAGTTACAAAACCAACCTTCCACCAAGAGCCTGGATTTTGGAACTTCCTCCTGTCCCAGCCACAATGTAATTAATGGCCCTTCTTGCTGGAGCTTAGTCTAGAGACTTTTATTTCAGAAATGCCCCAAATTATGAGAAAGGTAATGTATCCTTGGGCATATCCAGTCTCTGATAGTTCAAAGAGCAACAAACGAGTCAAGAAACAGAAGCTGTACTTCCTGTGTGTTGACCAAGCCAGCACTCTGGGCAGTTCTACAAAAGAAACCACTCAACCAAGCCTAATTCTATTCTTCAAGTCATTGTGTTCACTGTTTTCTGACTGACGTTCTTTGAAATAACAAACTACACAGTCAAGTTCTGAATTTCTATTAGCAGTGGCTTTATCTGCTGTTGTCTTAAAACAAAATACTAGATGAACCCTAAGCTTTCCACAAACACATTTTGTCATGTGTTAACTCTTGGAAAAAATGTAAATATGTTTGCTGAAAGCAGAGTATACCTGCAATTTTATTTCTTACCAATGTCAGCTGAGGTCCCAAACAATAATTTTGCATGAGAATTACCTGGAGTGCTTATTATAAAGCAGGGTTCTTGGACCCACCATCAGGAATCCAGTGAAACTCAAAAGTTGCCCTAGGTAGAGATGTAAGTAACTAATATCTCCCAATTTATGGACTAAGACAAGTGTTGAGAGGTGTTTACATTATATTACATCCCTGTACACTGCTTGAAATCCTTCCCATAGCATGTATCACACATATACACACACAGATGCACAACTGCATGGAGTGGTGGATAAACCAAGTTGTATGTACCACATGTCACAAGCTAAACCCACAGAAAAGACTTTCTCCTAGAACTCCCGGTGTGCTCTACATGGCTGATTCTTGAGTAGGGCAGCCTTGGGCCTGCAATGCTTCTCGAGAGGCCTGTTAATATACAGTCACTAAAAGCACTCCAAACAGCAAAATAAGAAATTCAGGATGAAAGAATGACAAGTAGCTTATCAGCAAACCAGTAACCAGCACTATTTTCTAGACAATTTTGAAGGAGGTATTTTGACTAAAGCTCTTTTTTTCCATCCCAAATAAATCAGAGGTGATAAAAGCCTGGTATGTGGATAAATGTTTGAAATAAGAAAAGATACCCAACTTTTATAGCAATGTTCTCATTCAATATGAGGGAGCTGTGACCTTCATTGTAATTGTCCGAAATACTGAAACCTCCACAACTTGCCCCATATATGGAAGACAAACTCCTTTATCCCCAATTCACACATGAATAATTACAAAAGAGATTTAAGTTAAAAATGCTTCCTTTATTACATAAAGCCAATACAACTACTTCTAAGTTCAACTGTTTGTGCATCTCTATATTGTTCAAAGCATTATGCCTGTGATGTTAAAGACAATCACTTCCAAGTGTCATCCGGTAGCAGTTTTCTGTGGATGTCATCATTTGTCATACCTGCTCCCCATTCCATGTACAGTTGACAAACTGCTCTAGAAAATTAAGTTCTTCCAGGCCCCAGAGTAAACATATACCTAGTGTTCTTCCACACCTTACTGTGCCAGAAACAACAAAATTCTTGTCCCAGCTTATCAATAAACTGTTTTCATCTTCATTAACAAAGTATATTACAATGGAGCCCCAATTTGCATTATAATTGGTTGTTACAAGATATTGCACATTCTCCTGAGGACACATGATTCTCAAGATGCAAGCAAGGTCATTCTCAGAACAGTCTCCCATCTAGTAAGTGGAGAGCTCACCACAGGTACAAGGAGTTGTTTCCTGTACTCCATCCAGCTAAGTGCTTGAAATAGTGCTCTGCAAGATCAGCGCTGATTATAAGCATACACAATTCTGAGACAGTGTTC